CTAGTCTTCACTTTGCCAGTTACTATCTAAGTGACTTTAGGAAAGTCACTGAATCTCACTGAGCTGAAGTTTCTTCAGCCATAAAAGGGAGATAATATCAGCCCTACCTACCTCATAGGTTCAAACAAGATAATGTGAAAACCGTGAAATCCTGTACAGATGTGTAACAATACAAGTCACCAAGGAATGGTCGTGAATATCATTGAGAACTGAATAATGACTTTGTTGTCTCTGAACAGTTTTCCATGAATAGATATACCAGACTCAGGAGCTGACTGTAATACAGAAATTATTCACTGACAAATGAAGTAAAACTTTGCTCCTAGTAAAGACCTCAGAAATATTCTGAGAGCACACTGATGGTCCATCCTAAAGATGTCACCAGATGGGGATGGAGGCTCTGAGAAGACAAAAGTAAGGCATCAAAGGAACCTAGAACTTTTCAAAACAGAGTGGGTAAAAAAAAAAAAAAAATCAGAACTACCAAAGAATCTCCCACAGAGAGGTTCAGTGAACAAATCTGTGACCATGGTAGTTAAGCAGAATAATGACTGAGGAAGACCAACAGAGGCTAAAAACTTTTACCAAAATTATGTTATTCAGTATCCCATGAGAGGATTCAGAATATTTTTTTCCAATCAAAACCAACAACAACAAAAAATCCTTGTTTTTGTATATAATAAAACTCAACTGCACATTCAGTATTCAGTATAATTCCCTTCTGGCTACAGAAGTGAACGGTAATTGAATTGTAGAAGGGCTGTTTGCTAATGTCTATGGCAGATTTCAGATCCCATCCTTTGCATTTCAACGACATGCTGCTCAGGGCTATGCCAATGGAAGAAATGGATCTCGGTATAGATAAAACTCTAAGACTTCTGGGAGCAGAGATTATATCAGTGGAGGCCAAGGCTGGATTCTTCAGCTTTTTGCAATTAAAAAATCTTTAGTTTAATTTTGACCCTGTGGTTGATTACTAGGTGAATTTTGGTAACTTGTCTCTACAGACTTCTGTTTCTTTCGCTCTAAAATGAAGTGGCTGTAATAAACCCCTTTACAGTCCCAATGTTCTACGAGAAGTCTCTGAGAAGAAAGGTTCTCGGAAGAATAGGAAGAGGTAGCCATCACATGTTTAAGAGTTTGGAAGCTCAAGGATAATGAGGCTATAGAAATGGAGAGAGTGGGCTTGTAAAACAGTAGGTAACCTTCAGAAAAATAGATGTTGATTAGGAAAAACCTAGGAAGAGACAAGCTGAAAGAAATTGAACAGCTGAGCAATCAGAGAAAACTGGAAAGGTTGGTACACAGATGTGGGTAGCTAGTGGGACCATGCAAGGCCAGCAGTCTGTGTAGAGAAGTGAAGTCACTTCTGCCAGCAGAGTTTAGAATACTAACAAGTTGGTGATCGGGTGGCTGTAACTTTATTCTTAAATCAAGGAGTGAATCTAAAGCTTAATCAGAAAAAAAAAGAGCAAGAAGACATATAAGTAGATTAGTCATGGACTAGGGCAACAGAGGATGTCAACTAGAGAAGAACACTGACCAAAAGGATTCCTTGACCAAAAATCACCTTGTCATCAGCACTTTGGGCAAGAGTTAAACACAGCCACTTACAAAACAGAAAGCCATTGAAATCTTCCTCAATTACTTAGATGTTGATATCAGCACGAAAAAGATGAGGCAATGTAAGAAATGACTGATTAAATGATGCAAAGTCATTTATCAACTGAGTAGCAGAGGCCAGAGTTCTTAATCTTCCCTTTCATCACCATTTAAAAGACACACAACTAGAGAGTTTCTGCAGTCTCTTTAACCAGAATAACTTCTGTTATGCTATTAATAATCTGTTGCTCTTAGGAATTAAAATGTACTGGTGTAGTTGTAAAATTGATTTTTTAGTATTTGAAGTGACTCTGGATTTCAGTCACTCTTACTTGTCCATCAACAAGGACAGGATGAGGATATAGGGCAAAAAGTAAAGATGTGATATTTCTTTGTTTCCCATTCTTAAAAAGTTTATCATACCACAGAGACGTCAAAAACTGACAGTTCCAAAATGTTTAAAAGAAAACTAATCACTACAGGATATATGAGAACAATCCGTGTTCTGATGGCTCTTAAACATGTATCTACAAATTATTTTCATCATTAGTTTTCTGCAAAGAAGGCAAATTTGCAATATGTTTATATACTTACCTTTAAAAGTTGAATTGACTGCCTATTGCTTTTGTAACTCAGACGTCCTGTTTTTCCTTGATCTCTGCAAACCCAAAAAGGAGGGTGGGGGGCGGTTAGGGGGATGGGCAGGATCCAGTCCTATATGCCAAGCACTGATTTTTCGCATTGAAACAAACCATGGAATAAACTAACAACAAAAGGATTATCTTTCATTTGAAGAAGAAATCTAAGGTTTAAGGACAGTATATAATGGTAACTTGAACTAAAGGGTTTAAATACCACTTGAAAAGTATTATTTGATTATTAAGTCCAAGTTTTCAATGAGTCATTTTAAAAGGAAACATAAATTTCAAGATATAGTTAAAACTTTGAGAGAAGAAATATCTGGAAGGTATATTTTTTAAAACTGAAGTTGCAGAATAATTTTACCAGCTTGTAAAATTCCTCAAGTGCTTTCTACAATTCCAACAGCCGCAATGATGAAGTAACTAGTGAAGGGAGGTCCAGGAATAAGGCTTCATCCGGAGGGATAAACAAGGAGATGTGTGGACAGAAGCCGACGCCGCCTAGCTGGCCAATTTAGGCGGCTCTACTCTGGTGATGAATGAGGTGAATGATTCATCACCAGCATAGAGTGGTGGCTTCCCTCACTTCCATATATTTAGGCAGGGATTGAAAGTCACTTTGTTGACATATAATTCCTACATTAAAAAAAAAAAAGTGTATCACAATGAAATAGTGCTGGATGGATGACCCCAAGTACAAATTACTTCCAACCCAGCGATGAGATGTTATTTTATTCTTGTAAAATATGAAAGGAAAGAAAAATAATATTCTAGGTACAGACAACAATGAGCTCCTATGGAAAAACCCACTACAGGAAAGCTCTTCAGTTATACCCAACCCTTTCTTTTTCTCTGTGAGCTCAGAAGAAAAACCATCAAGTGAAATTGCTAGTATTTGATTACAAAGAAACAATATCCAGCAGCTGGATGTGAAAATGTGATTGGCAGGGAAGAGTAACAAAAGTGCAGGGCGTTTCTAGTTAACACAGTGTTTCCCTCAGCCACTAATAGGGTTCTAAATCCAATGAATCAGGATGCTGTTTGGCACATCACAGGGTAAACTTTCTGAATAGTGAGTTATGGACCTGGAATATAAACAGGCTTCTAAGATGTTTTCCTTACATAGGCAGCTAGAACAATCTGGTCATCACTTCTCATCTTCTGGAGCAATTTGTTGGCCTGAAACAGATTAAATATTTTATGTGTGTCCTTCCAGACTGACTAGCCTGAGGAGGAAGGTTTTGAATTGCACCCTGAAAGTGAGTTCTTCAGCAAAGTACTGTATTTTAGAGCTAAAAACACTTATGGAAAATTCCCGTCTATAATTTCTTTAATTATGGAATTATCACTGGTAGTGGTGTTTGTTTCCATTTCAGAGTGTGATGGTAATTTCTTGGGGTTATTTGAGCCCCAAATACTTAACACTTAGTAACTTTAATCTGAATACTTTGACTTCCTAAAATAGTATTTTTTTTACTTGTGTGAAAAAATGGATCATTCATGACATATTTCCATAAATGAGATTATAATCTTTCATAACTTTAAAATACTTTTGTTTTGTAATGTTGAAATGTTTTGAAATAAAAGACCTAGTCATGAAGTTACACAATCATTCTGTCATTAAGACTAATATCTTGTCAATGCAACAGGATAGAAAGCCCAGAGATAAACCCACGCACATATGGTCACCTTATCTTTGATAAAGGAGGCAAGAATATACAGTGGAGAAAAGACAGCCTCTTCAATAAGTGGTGCTGGGAAAACTGGACAGGTACATATAAAAGTATGAAATTAGAACACTCCCTAACACCGTACACAAAAATAAACTCATAATGGATTAAAGACCTAAATGTAAGGCCAGAAACTATCAAACTCTTAGAGGAAAACATAGGCAGAACACTCTATGACATAAATCACAGCAAGATCCTTTTTGAACCGCCTCCTAGAGAAATGGAAATAAAAACAAAAATAAACAAATGGGACCTAATGAAACTTCAAAGCTTTTGCACAGCAAAGGAAACCATAAACAAGACCAAAAGACAACCCTCAGAATGGGAGAAAATATTTGCAAATGAAGCAACTGACAAAGGATTAATCTCCAAGATTTACAAGCAGCTCATGCAGCTCAATAACAAAAAAACAAAAAAACCCAATCCAAAAATGGGCAGAAGACCTAAACAGACATTTCTCCAAAGAAGATATACAGATTGCCAACAAACACATGAAAGAATGCTCAACATCACTAATCATTAGAGAAATGCAAATCAAAACTACAATGAGATATCATCTCACACCAGTCAGAATGGCCATCATCAAAAAATCTAGAAACAATAAATGCTGGAGAGGGTGTGGAGAAAAGGGAACACTCTTGCACTGCTGGTGGGAATGTGAATTGGTACAGCCACTAATGAGAACAGTATGGAGTTTCCTTAAAAAATTACAAATAGAACTACCATACGACGCAGCAACCCCACTACTGGGCATATACCCTGAGAAAACCATAATTCAAAAAAATTCATGTACCAAAATGTTCATTGCAGCTTATTTACAATAGCCAGGACATGGAAGCAACCTAAGTGTCCATCATCGGATGAATAGATAAAGAATATGTGGCACATATACACAATGGAATATTAGCCATAAAAGGAAACGAAACTGAAATATCTGTAGTGAGGTGGATGGACCTAGAGTCTGTCATGTACAGTGAAGTAAGTTAGAAAGAGAAAAACAAATACCGTATGCTAACACATATATATG